TAGGCACAAAATGAGGAGTGGTGGTGTGTTTGGCAAATGTCTGCAATAAGCTTTATCTCAATGATCCCGGCCTTCGCCTGGCCGTGACACACTGAACCCTAGCAGAGTACTTGCCGGGGATTTTGAAGTGGTTTTTTAGCTAATCCCCTGAGGGGTATGTGTGGCGTCATTGGCGATTTCGGATGGCAGATAGGAAGTGAAAGTATTGGTTTTACAAGTCATCTTTTCGGCATTAGCCTCAATAGGGGAAACCAATCTCAAGTCTCGGACAGTGACCCCTGTTAAGGCTGTGCCTTCCAAAGGAACACATTTCCTCTACCAACTCATTTAGGGGAAGCACACGAAACAGCTTTAAGGGAGGCATTGAAAAACAGCAATCGCATACGTGAATGAGTTCTAGAGGCGGTTATTAACCCTGGCCCTACTGGCTCAAGTTAAGGTGCATTGCAGTTAGCTGGTAGCAGCGATAACAGGAAATATATTTATGATTTAAAGGAAGAATTTGTGTACATGATGGTTATACATCATCTCAATGTAATGCCTCCTCTTGTGATCCATAGTGTTGCATTGATCGTCTCCAATTACATAAAGACCATGGATAGGAGCTGCGAGTAGTATAGACGCATGTGGATAGGTGATGTCTGTACATGCATAGAAGGCATTGATGGAGGGGCAGCTCAATGTGCCATTAATAGAACTCTGCACCTCGGTTATGAAGTCCGTTCCCACGTATCCACTATTTCCCTCCACAACTCGCCAAATTTCTCTGGCGAATCTTCTTGCCACCAGCTCCCTACGTAGTGGCTGGTACCCCATAGGAGGGCAAGAAAGATGCCTCAATTCAAGACAGTCTTCTGCGCACCCTTCGGTCACTTCCACCTTCTGGGCATAAGAGGTGAAAGAGCAATCAAAGAACATGAGGAAAGGGCTCATGGAGTAGATTTTCGAGTTGGATGGCAAAATGTAAAACAAGGTGGGTTGCCTCTCCAAGTTGCTTAAATACACACAGAACTTCATACTTGGCTCAAAAATTGACTTCAAACTTCTCACTTGTAGTTAGTGGAGATAGCTTCTCCCTTCACTTGCCTTTTGCCATCATTCCTGATTTCATAGTGTGGGATTAGTCTCTCAAGTAGCTAATTTATTTACATGAGCTGAGTCCGAAATGGCAAATGTACATAACACAATAAATGTGTCAGCAATGCTTGGTAATTCAAGCTTATTTTTCGCCTCATCTTTGCCAGCAAATAAGCATTGATTCACAGCTGTGACTTAGGAAACAGTACAGATGCACAAACTAATTTATTACTTGAAATAATAGTCTTAGGAGTGCCACACAAAACATATAGCACAATAAGTAATGCAAATAGAACCACTAAGAAAACAAGGGCAGAGGCGGTTCGCGTCAACATCTGATTCGATATAAACGCAACAAACTGAAGGTTATGGGCCCGCATCATTTTTGCCAGAAACTTGTGATACTTCATTTAAATACCTAGTGCCCTGAAGAAAGCAGATACCACCTAGTCCGACGTGTCTCCACCGATCTCTCATCCATTGCCAGCGGTGGTTTTGAAATAGTAGGGAAATTGCCGACAGCATCACCAGAGATGGTACCATTAGGGGAATGTGAAAACCGTGGATGGGACTCAACAAACTCTTCCTCCACCTGCCACTTTTTCTCCCCCTCCTTGTCACCCAAAATATGGTCCATGATGGACTGAAACCCATATCCATGCCTCAAACACCTTGAGATAAGCATCAGCATGCATTTTTAGAGTTCGAGCAGGTAATTACTGCTGGGTTGACTACACGTTTTGGTTCAGATGGTGAGCTTTTCCATATTTTTAAGAATTTCCACTTCATTGACATTGTCGCACAGATACAGTAGACGGATTTGTAACAAACCTTTCCAGATGATTCACTGCCAGTGCCACTTGCCTTGATAACAGCATTCCCACAGAACATGGAACTGGGGGTAGTTGCTGAAGGTGGATTTCATTTTAAACTCTTTTGCTAGAGATGGCCACAGTTACTTTCATCTACAGCACACGCTCCTCTTCTTGCATCACAATGAGGTTTAGCATTCATCATTCGAAATCAGGTTGATTGTCCTTTCCGCAGGCACCAATTCAGAGCCCCTGTTTTCCCCAAATTCCCATAAAGATGTAATAGTAGGGCAGGCAAGACAATGCTGACGTGAATAAAAACGTGAAGCCTACAGGCCTGGCCCGGAGGCCATTTTGCACAGAGAAAGTAAAAATGCGGAGTTCAAAGTTCGACTAACCAAAGTATGACACATAGTTGCAGACTCTCAGTGGTCAATCGCAATACATGTTTTAATCGTAAGTTGCGCTAATGAGTTAAAAGTGCTCCAGGGAAATTAACTGACAAGTATAAAAGGAGGGACACCAAAACTTTGACCTCGAGGCAATAAAGGTGGTCAAATTTGGGTCTTTTGCCTTCAGGTGGCTTACGAACACACTCTAAAGCATTTGCTTGCTGCAGTTGTTTCGAGCATGTCCAACTTTGTTACCTCTAATTCCACCTCTGGCGGCATCTGCTCTGACAACTTTATTAGACGTGTGGGCTCCTACTGAGTGTTGGACAGGTGGACAGCAACTAAAATAGATACGGGTTGAAAGTTCTACCCACAAGAGTATGTTAGAAGAGCTCAAAGCAGTGGCCTTTCCCTATATCAGTGAACTTTAAAAAACGGCAGTAAGAACAAGCAATCGCAGGTCAATACTTTGTTTAGCTTCCAACATGATTTCCCTAACACAAAAAGTCTTTAAATAATACTCTCCAGGAAAAGTATGAAAAAAAAATCTTCCTTGAGTTTCTTTTTAATAATTAAAATGTTGTGTTGGGAAGCGATTGAACTCACAGATCTCCACAATCTTTGGCGACTGCGGTTGCGATGGGGAGGAATGTAGACACACTGGTAAAAATTATTTACAATGAAAGGGAAGCTGCAGGTATGAGAAGGTAGGAGAGAGGCACGATGAGGGAAAATATGTTTCGACTTTACTGTCATTTATGTGCTCTTTTATGTTATTCCCCACATCCTGCTGCACAGTGAAGGGTCTTCTCTTTAGGCGGTGGTCATGATGCAATATTTTGCCTAAATCAGAGGGCAGATCATTTACGGATAGTTTTATCATTGGTACCCATTCTCGCTTCACTACTGTCTATTACGCAGAATGGGAATTAAAGTAACGGCTCAGAGTCGACAAAAAAGAAACAAAATAGTGTTCATTGTTCTTTCAAGGTGGTTTCAGAAGGACTGGAGGGCTAACTCTAAAGCTAGCAGGTGTTTGTGCTTTCAAAGTCGGCATTCAGCATCCTTTCTAAGGAAAGGAGAAATTGCAATCGGTCTCTTTTTCTGTTTCAACTACTCTTGCGCTCTCGAAAAGGCCATTTCAGGCAAGCCAGGCGTCTCAGGTTCTTTGTGGTTTTCGCAGCCTCTCCGGTTCGCCTATCTGTTTACACTCGTCGCGATATTTTACTGCGGGAAGACCCCTTCACTTAATGTTGTGGAAGTTAATGAAACGAACTAAAATGAGCTGTGGCGTCTTCTACCTACTTAGCAGTGTTGTCAATCTCATGGGAACCACAACGACCCCGGAATACCTCCAGCGTCCACCTCAACAGCCGAGCTCGGTGGGTAGAGGTCCTCCTTGTTTGTGGTACTATAAACAAGTATACTTAAGCGGCTTTTGTAGTGTGTCCGAGAAAATGGACAGACGGCTGTCTAACTTACTGACTGACTGTCACTTTCGAGAGTGAGTCATTATTATCTTTAGTGACAACGCCAGGGATAGATAAGAAGGGGAGTATTTACCTCTGAAAGGTACAGTAATTTTACTAGAAGATAGTCTAACCTTCTGGCCTTCTACATACTGCCATATTTTTGACCCGTGATCCAGAAATTTTATAGCCTTGACCCACACCTGCAAAACATAGGCAAAGGGACGAAGTTGGGATATATATAGAGGGTTAAATGAAGTCTTTGGTGGAGACAAAATCAAGACCTACCACTATAAAGAAAACAGCTTATCCTTCTAGTGAAGAAGAGGTAAGAAGTTATGCTCGTAAACGGCTATGCATACTGTCAGAATATTTTTGGTGTAGCCATGGAGGAAAGCAACGTATCCACATGTTTAAATGCTCAAATAATAACCTACCACCTATCCACGTAACCATTTGAGTCTTGTGATTACTGCTCCACTTTGACTGGAACTAGCTCCCTGGCAAAGCTGCAATGAGAGGCACGGGTAGATCAGAAGTAGCGAATTTCGCATTTTAATTAAAAGAATCTTTGCTCACTGACCGAGATTTCTAAGTGCCGCGCCTTCTGCAGAGTCAACTTATTTTTTCTGTGCAATACTCCTACGAGCATTAAACCATCGCTTGTTTTTCTGTAACCCAAATATCAAAGTCTGGTAAAGGAATGCACTCACCGCATTCAAGACAGCCTTCATTATAACCTAATGAAATTCGAGAATGGCGTGGGGAGCGTGGAGCTCGATATTGCGGATCATGAGGTTGATGGGATTCGACCATGCCTGAAGCTGATCATGGAGGGTGTCTGGAGAAGAAGAAGAGAAGGAGACTAGTCATTTCACTTGTTTATCTCGGACATATTCCAGATGAGTCTGACAAATGTGATTTGGGCTCGTCTTCTGTAAAAAGTGGGTTTTGCTTGGCTCCAAAGCTGCAAAAGCATCACTCCGACTGCTGAAATCGATGCTGGGAACGGGAACTGCTCAGAGCGCTTGACCCACTGGCAGATAATTAAACAGTTAAATCAAGAATTACCCGGTACAAATGGAGAATGGGATAGGTGAAGACCATACTGGAAATAGAAATGAGAAAGTAGGCAAATCTGATTAACCATGTCTTTTACACTCGCCTTTTACATTTCTTTAGGTAAAGAGAATGTTGATATTTGGCACTGGCATCAGACAATTGTGAGAGGAATCCACATTTGTGGAGCAATTGAGAGAAGTGTTGGTGATCAGAGATGCCTGTTTTGCCTCTCGACGCAAAGGCGTATTGTACACTGCAGTTTTGGAGGCCTTAGTTGTTTTGTATAATGCCTGCAAGAACATTTGCTCCACTTGACTTCCCTGTGAGAGCTCTAGGAGAGGATAATCATTTGGAAGGTCTTTCATATGTTGACATGTCTCAACCGCATACCCACACATATGGCACTTTTTAGCCTGCCACAGACTGCCAGTGTAAAACGAGCATTAAAACTACGTTCAAAGTGCGTGGACGTTAATGATGCTTTCGGGACTATTGACGGCTGCACAACGACACTTTCGATGGGGCTACAGCCTTCTTCTTTAAACTTGTGCGTAGTCTTCGCATGGCTGGAACATCCTCCCAAAACGCTTCCTAGTGAGATACGAATTTCGTTTCCAATTTTCTGCCTTGTATGCTTTGCATCTTGCACAAAATTCATGAATAGGGCGCTTATGGAGTATTAATGTCATTAATGCCTCACAAATATCACTTTGATACAACCTCAAAGAAGACTCAATGCCTTTCTGGAATGGTCCACTCTCATATTCTTAGCCTCACTTTTTATAGCCAACCTCAATACATTCTCGGTTTTGTGGCTATACCTGCAGGCAATCGTCTCTCTGAAGCTCCAAATTTAACAGTCTGCAGAAGGCTAATTTTTAATGGTAGAAGCTTTTGAGCGAATTCTACCATCCACCAATCATTTGAGATGCTTAAATGAGAAAAATGCCAGTTTCAGGGATCATAGACTCATTTTTAAGCGTCACTTTACACAGTGACATTGATGGGATGCTATTGCTTGATTTTCTGCAATATGGTCTTTCCAGACTTGCACTATTCACCGTGAACACTTTGTCCTCTTATTTTCTCGCAGAGTAGGTAGAGGTTGTAAGGTCCTTTAAAGTCTCTTTTAGATTCAAGGAATGGAAAGTTAGGATTCATATAGACTGGGATCTAACAACTGTAATGCATTTGTCATTGTAATTCGTAGTAGCGTGTCTTAGGACAAGGGGTAGAATCACCTCTGATTCACTCAAACTCATATTCATCGCATAAATAGCTCCTCATATTTGCAAGAAAATAAATCTTGGCTCAGAACTGTAGCTCTAGGTGGAAATGACTTATTGTATTAAATATTAGTCTTAAGGGTACCACACAGTACTTATATCACTACAAGTACTGCAATTTTGAACCGTCACGACAGCATTGACAGAGTCAGCTCTTGTGAATCTCAAATTCAAGATAAACGCAATCATGTGAAGTTTAAGGACCTCTGGCTTTTTGCTAGTAACTAGAGTTAATGAACACCCGAAACTGTTGGTAAGGCGGGAGCAAAGAGATCATCTGCACATCTTAACTTGGATCTCCTTAAGGTGGAAGCGGATTTATAGGGGCTTCAAGCAGTGAGGTTGCGGATCCACTCATGCACATAGATACATTAGAATGCATCAGTGCATAGGCATTTAAAGTGACCTCAAATTCAACTCTATAGCTTCCCACAGCACATAACGTTACTTTTCTCCACATGCAAATGAAATCGTCGCATGAAAGTTTCCTCTTCTCACTGATGTGATCTGGCGTTCTTACCAGGTCATGTAGGAGCAACTAAAAATTTTTCAATTGCGTGTTTTGTGATGTGAAGCAGATAGGGAGACACCTGATTATCCTCGCTCAAAATCACCATCGTTATAAATAGGCCCACTATCAATTTTGTCGATTCATGAACAAAATAGCATTTAATTAATTTCTTTTTTTAACCTTGCGTTTTGTGATGTGGAGCAACTGGAGAAACGCCTGATTTTCTCCTCCGTGTAAGCCCGTCTGATCAAGTCCTGGTTCAGTTTTATCATGGTTATGAATAACCCCAGTGGCTATTCTGTGGATTTATGAACAAGAAGGTGTCCAATTTTCCCTCTCTTTCTTGAGAAAAATGTCTACATTTGGAATATTTTTAAGGATGGAAAATCGCTTTTTGACATGCTTTGCGCCATGTTTTAGTGAGGAGGTGAACTGCAAATACGTAGTAGGCAATCTCAAAAAAATGAAGGTTGAACTTATGTGGGACAGTTGAAAACTCTTCACTGGGTATTCTTTGTGCCGGTAACTTAGAGTAGAGGCATATTCACCATTCTTTGTCAACAGGAACAGCGTCTTTAGGTGTCTTCGTCAAATCACCCCTGAAGTCTGGCTAGAACTCTCTTCCACCATAATTGGGGAGCTGATGAGCTCGTCCACCAACGAAAAGCCAGGTCACCAAATCGATTGCCGGAACTGAGGACACTGAGGAACCTGTGGGGTAGCAATTATCTTCCTGTCATACAAGGAGCACAGCATGTAGGTTTATTTGGCCACTCTCAAAGTACCTCGAAAATCTCCATAGAATATGAAATATTTCCAGCAATTGACACATTGCTGTTGAAAGGCAGTGAGCGAGCATCAAAGATTGCAGCTGGCTGAAGTGGTCACCAAGGCCTGGAGGATGTTTCAAATGTCTAGCGCCTTGATTGAGCTCCTCCGTTTCCAATCCT